ATTACCTTTAAAGCCCTACATGGCACTGGACCTGGATATCTGAGAGACCGTCTCCTGCTACAGACCTCCCAACGTCCGATTAGAACTCATAGGTTAGGCCTCCTCCGGGTGCCGTCGGCTGGACAATGCCGACTGGCAACCACTCGGGGGAGAGCCTTTTCTGTAGCTGCTCCGGCTCTGTGGAACGAGTTATCAGCAGAGATCCGGACCCTCCCCACCCTTGCGGCCATCCAAAAAGCCACCAAAACCTGGCTGTTCTGGCAAGCCTGGGGTTGCTGACTCAAATCAGGTTCAACTCCCAATTAAATCGGTTGTATGTTGGGTTTTTAAACTGTTTGTATTGTTTGTATCTTCCCCCGTGTGTTATTTTATTCGTTCGTATTTGTAAGCCACCCTGAGTCCCCCGGGATAGGGCGGCATATAAACCTATTAAATTGACAAATTAAATTGAGGGGAAGGAGAGAAGGAAGGAAGAGAAGGGAGGGAGGGTGTTACAAAAGGAGGAAGGGTTGATAAATAAAGCAACCCAAACTGTATATTATAACCTATTAAATGAAATAATAAATGTATAAGAATGATAAATGAAGAATAACAATCGTGAATGTATATTTAAAATGGTATGTAAGAGAAGCAAATAAAAAAACAGATAAAGAATATAACACAACCAAAAAATATTTTAGCAAATGTTAAATTACATTGGTTGAATTTAATACAATTAGAGAAATGGATAAAAATGGAAGAAAGATTCAAGGAGAAAGACAAAATTTGAAATCATTATAAAAGAATGTGAGCTGAATGAAGAACATATAGGGAAAGGAAGAATAGGGAAAACATCCTCCTCCAGGATACTAAAAAACAAAGCACGTCTATCTCCATAATTCAAGATGTTGGTCATCACCTTTAAAGCCCTTCATAGCATGGAACCAGGTTATCTAAGGAAATATCTTGCCCAATGGGATTGGCCTACCCCACTTGCTCAAGCAGAAAAGGCCTATGGACTCTACCAGCCAAGTAATTTTGGCTAACAGATCCAAAAAGCCTTGTCTGCCATGTCCGACTCCCTGTAACATCTTGCAACTGGAGGCCTATCTCCACCCTCCTGGCCTTCCAGAAGAGTTTTAAAACTGAGCTCTGTGCTTGTTGGCTTGGGATGCCAAATGGGGAACGCTATGCTGGAAGTGGTTAATTGAGTCAGAGACAAAAGCCTGCCTCTGCAACATCTGAACTTTTGGTTTTTAATTTTTGCTTAAAGGTTTTCAATTTTAATGCTTTTATATTTATGCTTTATGTTGCTATAAGTTGCCCAGAATCACTTTCGATAGTGAAATGGGCAGCATATAGATTTAATTAATAAATAAATACACTTTTGATATACAAAGTTTTCAAGAGTCTATACCTATGAAGGCGAACCTGGCACACGGTGCCCTCTCTGTGGGCACGCAAGCCGTCACCCAGCTCAGCTTCCCACCAACCAGCTGATTTTTGGGTCTCTGCTGCACATGCGGGTGATAAGCATGCATGCATGGAGGGGTCACATGTGAATGTGTGAGGGTGTGGGGGAGAGCATGCAGTGTCCCCCCCCCCCCGCAGCCACTTTTTGATCCTAGGAGACTTCAGGGAGGCTTGCTAGGCCCAAAACAGGCCATGTGTGTGTGTGTGTCACACACACCCAGGCAGTTTTTGTCCCAGGTGGCTTCAGGGAGGCCTGCTAGGTTCAAAACGGGATGCCGGGGTGTGTGTGTGTCACATGCATGCATGCGTGGGGGGGGCGTGGTCATGGAAGGAGTCTTGTGCACATGCGCAAGGGCTGGGACACATTGCATTATGGGTGTGGGTGTGCACACTCAGGGTTTTGGCATGCAAGGAGAAAAAGGTTAGCCATCACTGGACTGTACTTTTTTGGAAGGGGGAGAGGTTGGTCTTTACATATAAAAATAATAACACTCTAGATACAAGATTTACAAGTACAGCTTTTATGCTCTTGTTTTTCCAAACTTGGTGCCTTCTAAATGTACACTTCCCAAATTCTAAGACAAGACTGGGAAATCTGGAAATTGTAACTCTAGTACATGATGGCTACAGATGAAATCCAATCTGTTCACTCTTTACTACTATAGACAATACCTGTTGAAAAGTGAGATCAGACTCTTCCAATATATACTGCTTTCTAATAGAGTAGAACATGGCACATTCTTTACTAAGACTATCAAAACACTGCTTTTCTTCATCCCAGTTTACCTGGTTAAAAAAATGTATAGTTTTAGATTTAGTGAAATGGTCAGTGACAGAGACAAGTTATGCATGAATAAATAATATTTTACTTTTAACCTTTTAGTGATGGTGGTGATATGACAGCTAGAAACTGAAACACTCCATTCTGATTGTTTAATCTAATTTTTATTAGTTGTTTAGGTTATATTTGTATATATCTATGTAACATTAAACTTCATAAGTATCTTTCATACACAGACTAAGTTGAGAATATATAAAAGATTTTTTTGGGGGGTGTTAAAAGTCACCTATTTGCAGGTTCTACTTCCTATGAATGGAGATATCCCAAGAATGAAGAAAGCAAGCTAGTATGGTGTAGTGGTTAAAGAGTTGACAAGGACTTAGGAGATCCAGATTCAAGTCTACCCTCAAGCTACCACATGGTTCTTGTGGGGAAAAAACTGAAGAATGGACTATGTACATTGCCCTACAAACAATCCTATCATAATCTTTATAGAGATAAATGGCAGAAGATTATAGTGATCATAGTCATGTTTCTAAAATGGAAAGTATATTAATGAAACTATGTTTGATAAGAGATTTGGCAACCCATTGTAATTTAAGAAGTTGGATGCATGATTGGAAAAAAGGAATTAACGTTTTCCATAACTTAAGTCTTTCACAGAACTGGTAATATTAAAATAAATCATAATCAGGCCTCAATTCAGAGATGCCTTTTTAGAACACCTTTTTTGCTATCTTTTCTCATGCTGAATATTAAGAAATAAAAATGACCTATCTAACCATGACTACATATGGCTTGAAAAATAGTAATTTGTGCTGAATATCAACATACCTCTGTGGCCAAACGAAGGATAAACATAGGTAGCCCTTCCAGTGGAGGAACATAATTATCTATCAGAAGCGGCAGTCCAGTAAGATTTCCCGCCTGCAAACAGAAAGCCATATTTTCACTATCACATTCAATAAAGTCATTTGTTTAAAATGACTGCAAAGAACATTAATAACATGTATGAAGATATTAAATACAAAAGAACAAGTGTTGCATATATAAAAGCCCACTGTAAGCTATTTCTATTAGATCAATTAAAATGCCAGATTACGAACACACACACACACACACACTGTATTTGTGCTGATAAATAAATATTTATTTATCAGCACAAATACAACACAAATGTAACAAAGGCAACAGTAAAAATATTGGGTTTCTGTCTGGATGGTCTCTTGTAATGAGCCGATAGACAGAATGGAAGCTGTAGACTTCCTCCCATGTTTGGGCATACCAGGGGTTGTGACTTTAAATACATACATACATACATACATACATACATACATACATACATACATACATTTATTTCATACAGATAGTCCTTGTTTTGCGACCGCCTTGTATAGCAATTGCTTACAGTTATGATAATCATGAAAAAGTATCTTTGTAACCAATCCTTGCATTTACAACCTTTGTAGGTCGATAAAGCAAAGCATGCTGAAGTAGGATCATAAGTACAGTTGCAATCACTTTGCTTAACAACAAAATTGCCAATTCCAATTGTCCTCATTAGGCAAGACTATATGTACTGGAATTACTAAAGTAAATAAATTGGGTATATTCCTAATCATAAATTCCTTGTTTAGAAGCCAAATGCTATGTACATCAATTTCAAGGGAGAAATAGTCTTTTAGCATTTCACTCTTCTTTGATAGGAAGTCAACAATATATTCAGCAAGGCCTTCCTTTGGACCATCTTCTTCTGTCCAACCACTTTCAGCATTCTCCAAGGCCAACATAGCCAGATCAAAGAGAGGAGCTGCTTCCTAGATATACAGAAGAAACATAAAACATTGTTTATGAAAACAATATTCTGTCTAGAAGCATCCAAAAGATTGGCAATCTGAAAACATTTCTTTATATGAATTATTATAAAGATGGGGTATGAAAATTATTAATTGCATGTCACCCTCCCAGAGATTAAATACTGTGTAAAGCTGCAATAATACACTTCCACAATTTAATTAGAATACAATTTATCAATCCTGAACAGCTGCAGAGACTATGCAGCTAAATATAAATTGTAATCAATACACATAACAAGTATGTAAATAATAAATTATAAAAATAAATTTGAGAATTAAACCACACTTTGGCTCTTAAAAGATATGTGTATGCGGGTCATGTGGATTTCTGGAAGTAATATCTACAAGGATGGAACAGCATGCAAAAACATCACAGCTCTACTTTTAATGTATCAAGCAACTACCCATCAATATATTGAGAACCTGATTGAACTTGCTACCGATGAATGGAATCTGGTAGACAGAGATTCTGTATGGATGAATGAAATTAAATAGAGGACTAATTTATGCAAAACACAATAGATTAAAAATGATTGTTCACTTCTGGTTGAAGCCAGAATTCTGATTGACGTTGTAGCAATATTAGTCACAGGAACGGGTCTCCGCGTTCCCTATGCTGACTTCCCTGTTGGTGAGTTCCGAGAAGAGCCAAAGCCGCCTTGTAGGGGATGGTGAAGCAAGGAGGTCGAGGAGAGTCGCAGCTCTCCTGTTTGACCTGGGCTGCCACAAAGCTGAGACAACCGAAGAACCACAACTAAGACTGGTGCTAAGGTGAAGTGACTGGAACTGGGGGAGCGGATTTCTTTTTGCCTTAAACTTAACCATAAGGAATAATTTGGAACTATTTGCTCAGAATTATTTGTTAAAGCAGTATCTAAGAATTTTGAGAAATACCAGACTGAAAGGGGAAGACACAAAAGAGAAAAATATTAAATTTTGAAATGTATAGAAAATTTGGAAGACGCAGTACTGGGAATGCCTTTTAGGGCAGAGGTGGGAAAAATACTCAAATTGAACAGCCAAGAAGCAGATGTAGAAAGAGATACAGAACTTAGAGAGGAATATGGGACACAAGTCAAAAAGAAAAAAAAGCACAGCAATTAAAGTAATGACGTGGGCAAGAGATTATGGATCGATGATTTTTCATTCTTGGTGTTGTTTAGATTTGCTTTTCTCTTCCTCTCTTTTTCTTTTTGTAGGTAGATGACATGATTAGAAGTTAGATAGGATAGAAAAAATGTTTTAACAAAGGATGGCATGATTAAAAGTTAGAATTAGAGATAGAAATAAGAGAAAAGGGGAATATTAATATATATACTTTTATATAATAAAATAAGAGCAATAATAAGAAAAAACATGGAATAATTGAATAATGACAGATTGCAACTTTATATAAATACGTATTATTAGAAAATATGTTGGTTGAAAGTAATAACTATGACTAATGCTATTTGTTTTATTTGTATTAGAATGTATGACACCCAGGTGCCACACTGTTCACACATTGATGTTTGTAAAAAAAAATAAACACTAAAAAAATAAAAATGATTGTTATATAAATGTATGAGAAATATATATGTATTTAAATAATAACTACATTGGATATATATCTATATCTATATCTATCTATCTATATCTATCTATCTATATCTATCTATCTATCTATATCTATCTATCTATCTATCTATCTATCTATCTATCTATCTATCTATCTATCTATCTATCTATCTATCTATCTCTATCTATCTATCTATCTATCTATCTATCTATCTATCTATCTATCTATCTATATATATATATATATATATATATATATATATATATAATTGTAGTTACTGTTAAAGTAATGTACAGTATTATACTTTTCCTTTATTTTCCTTTGAGTAGTCCTCAACACCAAAATTGAGCCCAAAATTTCCATTGCTAAGCAAGGCAGTTGTTAAGTAAATTTTACTCCATTTTCTGATTTTTTTTGCCACAGTTAAGTGAATTACTGCAGTTGTTAACTGAATCATGTGGTTGTTAAGCAAATATGAATTGAATTTTGAGCATAGGGATGCTGGAATGGTCATAAGCGTGAAAACTGCCATAAGTCACTGTTTTCAATGTTGTTGTAATTTTGAATTGTCACTAAATGAATGTGTCAACTTTGAATCAAACCTGGCAGAAGCCATTTTTCTATTCCTCAATAGCCAGTTTGGGGAGGGAGAAGGAGATCCTGCCAGCACCAAAGCTTCTCAAACCAAAGAGTTAAAAGAATACATTGACAAAAACCTAGCCAGAGGTTGCATCCAGCCAGTAAAATCCCGCATGGCAGCCCCTGGGTTATTCAAGGAAAAGAAAGATGGAGCCGTGAGATTATGCATGGATTTTAGAGGAATAAACAGTATGTGCGTGGACAACTTGTCCTTATGAAGGACATACTGGCTCACCTAGTGAAGGAAAAGATCTTCACAAAGTTAGACCTGAGGGAGGATTAAGGTGAGGATCAAAGAGGGAGATGAATGAAAGGCTGCTTTTAACTGCTCCTGGGTAGTTTCCAGTTCAAAGCGATGCTTTCAGTCTCCAAGGGGCTCCCACCGTGTTCATGCAACTGATTAACGAAGTGCTTCATGATCATCTATATAAAGGGGGCCTATCTATTTAGATGATATTCTGATCTTTACCGAGACAATGGAGGAGCATGTAAAGCTGGTTAGCAAGGTATTTAAAAACTCCCGGGGAAATGTGAAATGAGCACTGGCCAAAGTCACAGTGATGCAAAAAGAACAAGTAGATAAAAGGTTGTTTTATCAGAGACTGTTTCACATAGGAGAGAAAGTTTACCTTTCTACCAAGTACCTGAAACTGAAGTTGCCTTGCAAAAAACTGGGCCCTTTATAGGACCTTTCCCTATTATAAGAATCATCAACCTAGTAACAGTAGAACTGAAACTCCAGCGCTTCCTAGAGAAAGTAGATCTGGACTATCATAGCAGCTTATTGAAGCCGATAATAAGGTTGGTGTTGAGGCTGGTAGCTCAGGCATCCCCCAGTCCTATTGTAGCGGAAGGGGAAACCCACTATGAAATATAAAGGATCCTAGACTCGAGATTTTATAAGGGAAAACTGCAATACTTAGTGCAGGGGAAGGATTACCCCCTGTCAGAAGCCACTTAGGGATGTTAGAGCAGAGAAATTAGTCAGGACATTCCATGAAAAATATCCTGAGAAGCCAAAGAAACTGCCTGGTGATGGGAGGGGGATAACAGGAAATTAACCTATCTATAATTGATATTTTCCAGGTATTCCTCAGTCACTAGAGAAGATCCAACTGTTAACTTCGAATTGAACATGGCAAAAGCCATTTTTTTATTCCTCAATTGTAACACAGAGTGGGGAGGGAGAAGGAGAATGAAATGTGTTACTAGACAAAACACAGAACTTTCTCGTGAGAACCAAGGTCATCTCTGCAAGTGGTACAGACGAGGCAGAGTGTCTGGAGAGCCGGCCAATTAACCTAATTGGCCAACGTGACTTGTAACTTTGGGGATGGGAGTTATTTCCTATTTTAATTATACTGAAACGCGTGAAAACATTTAGAACTGGTTTTTCATTTGATTGTGACGATATGATATACCCAATAAAGAAATTCTTAGAGAATACCTTAGCCTCAGGGTTCTGATTTGTTTAGGTTCATTAGTTGGGATCACAACAAAATGGTTGTAAATAGAGGACTATCTGCATTTTACTTCATTTCTAATGCTCTTTTTTCTATGATAATTTATGTATTTTTATCTTTGTTTTGGTTCTTTTTCTTTTTGTCACTATTTAAAAATAATAAAAGAATAAAAAATTAATATAAATTCTGGATCTTCAAATTCTGTGAGGAAAATCTCAGTAGCTCTCCAGAACATCTCATTCCATGGCTGAATTTGGAAGCTTAAAAATAATAAAAGAATAAATATTGAAAAATAATGAGCCATAATAGTTAACTAATAAAGCATTGGGAAAAGCAAGTGAATTGTGATGATTTTTATTATTTATTTATATTTCACATTCCTGAACTGTTCAAGTCCCTCAAATAAGGGCTCTGGGTGGCATAAAATAATAAAACATATTAAGCAAGAAGTTAATACATTTAGGACAGTGATGGCTAAACTTTTTTGGCTTGAGTGGCAAAAGCGCACATGTGTCTGTGTGTGATAGCGCATGTCCGCGTGCCCATACCCATAATTCACTCCCCCTGCGCACCCCCAGCACATTCCTGCATAACACCCCCTTGCTCTCCCTCCCGTGCATGCATGCATGACCTCTCTCTCCTGAAGCCTCCCCTGGCACCCTGGAGGCCCCCTGGAAGCCGGAAACGGCTCATTTCTGAACTTCTGGTAGGGCCATTTTTTTTGCCCTCCCCAGGCTTCGGAGACTTTCCTGAAGCCTGGGCAGGGTGAAAACAGTTTCCCCCAGCCTTTTGGAGACCCTTAGAAGGCCAAAAATCAGCTGGTCCATTTGTGCATGCACGCTGCAGGTGACCTACCGCACCGGCTCACATGACTTCAGAGATGGCTCCCTGTGCCACCTGAGGCACATGTGCCATAGGTTCATCATGGATCTAGGATAATTTGAGTGGTATCATGGAAGCTATTGATAGATAAGTAAAAATCTTATTTCAGAGTGCAAAGAAAAAAAACAAAAGGCCACACAAACTAGGATGCATACCTGTGTATGCACACACACTCACACACACACATATGCAAGCAAGACCTGTATAGAAGAGATGGGGGTTGTGGGGGAGGGAGAAGCAGTCATTATGATAGTTAATTACTATTGCTAAGAACAGTAAAAGGACTGGAAAATTGAAGAACAAGGAAGTTAAAGTGCAAGTTAAAGAAATTAAAGGATGAACTTTGCCAATTTTCACTGGCTAAGAGAAAGTCTGAAGATTAACTCATATTTTCTAGAAGGAAGTCTGAGGAACTCAGGCAAATAGATAAAAGTTTTATATCTTACTAGAACACACTGTACTGTATATATCAAAAATACTTAATAGTTTAAATATGAAGTTAGTTTTTTTATTTTTAAGTAAGGTATCCCTAAAATCAGCATTTCTACCAAATGCCTTAATGTATGGTCCTGTTAGTATAGTGAAAAACATTCTTAAACATAACATTATTGGAAGTGGAAATCTCTGAAATTTCCAGTATACTTTGCTATTATTCAGGCTGTTTTAGCAACCATATAACAGTATTTGAAAAGTTGCAGTTTCCCCTCCCCAAACAGAAGGAAAAATCTTGCTAACCATTAAAAGATTTTGTAGATATCTACAAGAATATGAGTAAGAGAAATCCAGTAAATTCTGTACTCTTGATCTTTCAAAAACATTTTGGCAAAATTTTCATAAATTTCTGAGCAAATAAGGTAGGAAAAGCAATTTCTATTTCCTTCATAACACTAAAATTTGAAATCATCAAAAAAATTAAGCTACAGATAAATGGGGACAGGCATTGTATCCATACAATGTATGGATTTAAAAACAGACCATGTAAATATTTGCAGAGCATAAGAAAACCATATTTGTCTTCCAAACATTGCCGGAATATAAGCCTCATGCCTAAAAATTTGTTATATCGACAAGACTTGATGAAAATTGAGTTGGTAACAATGTCAGCACTTGGGAACAGGTGACTATTTCTGCATTCTTTTGTGCCTCTCGCCATTGGCCCATTAGGAATAGATATCAAAACTAGATAGATCTCTGGCTGAATTTTTTGTTGTTGTTTTGCTTTACAATGTCTTATATGCGAGCCTAAAATGTATAAAAAGAACTACTATCTTTAAAAGGATTAGTAAAGTATCTAATTTAAACCCACCCCAAAATATACTCACTGATAATCTTAAAACTCCAAAATTTCCAAAGTCATAAATAAGGATCTGATAGAACATTTCTTGACTTGAATCAAAAGAAAACAAAAATAATTAAATGCACATTCTCTTATATATTTAGCATCTGCAGAATATTAAGGTCTACCATCAAATTATTAGATTACAAATTATATTCTAATTTATGAATTAGAAGTGACGATCAATGGTATATCAACTTATTTTAGCAGAATATTGAAGCTAATATTTATCACATATAAACCCGTAGGACAAAATGCTGATAAAGTCCTTCAACTGCTAATTATATATTATTTCAAAATATCATTATCTTCAACAAATTGCTCCAAAGAGTTCTATATTCTATCACCAATCACATACTAAAGTTGTACTTAAATTGGACCATGCTTTCTCCCATCTTCTGGGCTATAAACAAAATGCAAAAGCTAAGATGCAATCCAGAACATCTATTTAATATTTATTTCCTAACTCAGGTAATTAAATCATTTTATTTTGACAAAAATAACAATACATTCAGACTACCACCTGAGTTTTGTGGTATTCAGAAGATAAAGTTTTGTCTGATGCTGAACCAGTGCCCATTGAGGACTAACACATCCAACAAAGGAATGATCACGAAGCAGCTCTTGAAGACCTGAAATAACAAGTTTATTTACATTTAGGATATCCTACAAAATTAGCAATAATATTGCTCTTTAAAAATCACTATGGATTTTGCAATTTATTTCTAATCTACTTTAGTTACTTTTAAACTGTATGAAATTAAGAAGCCAGTTTTAATTGTCCTATTTGTAAAACTGACTGCAAATTTTATTTTTTTCTGTTTAAAAGTAAATATATTATTTAAATAAGAAATGTGTTGCCAAAAATCTGACGGTTAGCAAATATTTAAACCCATTTCTAAATTCAACTCAAATAAAACAATATCTATTTATAAACTTTTAAAATCCAATCCAGATTTTTCAAAATACTTGATAATATTGGCTATTTGTACTAGGAGAAAAATATGAAGGACAAAATAATAAATCACTAGTAATTGTAGATCAAGATATGTTGATTACTATCAACTGAATGCCAGCCAAGCTTGAGTTATATCTATCATATGGATATTCTGTTCTGAAACATACAAACTAGAGCTAAGAAGATCTACTCATATAATGTACAGCTATTTTTATTTCCTTCAAAATATTTACAGAATTCTAAGTGAGTCTCCTATACAATAAATTGTATCTAAAAGTACACGAGATTGTTTTCACACTAACATCAGCTTAACTGCAATCTAATCTCTGAATTAAGTTCTTACTTTGCTGCTCAGAAATACACAACTTGTTAACCCTGTTGCTTGATCAAGAATATGAATCAAACTTTGCTTTCTATTTTGCAGATCTTTCAATTTGAACACCCATTCACAAAGTAATAGTTTTAATAAAATAGTTTATAAAATAATTTATAATTTATAAACAAATAGTGAACAGATAATTCTATTAATTCTATTAATTCAATAAGGATTCTGGAAAATAACGTGATAAAGACGTTCTGTCTTTCTGTAGTAGCAGCTGGTTGGAGAAATGAGTGTCTGGAAAATGGCACCATATTTCCTCCTTCCCACTGCTACCATAATATTCTGACCTGACTCTAATCCTCAAATAGTAGCCCTATTCTCATTTCCTAGGCCCTGACTTCCCCAACCTCGGAGCCACCAACTGTCCTCAGTAGACATCCTTGGAAGAGGAAGCTGGCCATTCTGAGGCATTTTATTTTTACCAGCTCTCATCACCAGCAACACCTCTCCATCCAGCATAGCACATTCACACACTCTGCAAGCAAATGAGTCCTCCCTTGCTGCTAAATTGTTGAAAAAGGTTACAGACAGTGTAAGAAACTAATCACAGAAAGAAATAAACAACTTACTTGCATTTGCCCTTTTATTAATTTCTTCTTGAAGAGTCAATACACTGGTTAGATTAATAATTCTTCTTCTTGGAGTGGAAGCAGCATCCATTTCCTTTTGTGGATTTTTTTCCATTTCAAGACCATGATCTGTTCGCTGCCTCTTTCTACAAGAGAAATTAAACTGAGTAACATCTCTTTCAAAGAACCCATTTAAGAAAACAAATAGTGTCTGCTGATTTAAAAATATTACCCTAATATTTATAAATAATAAAAATATTTATTTAAGCTCCAAGACCAAGTCAAGAATTTAAAAATATAACACAAGCAATTAAATGTATAAAAGGAAGAAACCTTATAAAGTTACATTTTCATTGAAGGGACTAAAGTTACATCCCAATTAGGCAGGTGTGTGCACAATCTATTTTTCAAATTATTATTAAAAACAAAATGTTGGTTGGATAATAGAACAACATATATTATGAAATGAAGTAAAATAATACTCCTCTAAATACAGGAGCTATAATAATTTGATATAAAATAGATTTAATAGAAAGCCAATTTGATGTAGTAGTTAAGGCACTAGGCTAGAAACAGAAGTTCTAGACCCTCCTTAGGCACAAGTCAACGGGTTGACCTTGGGCCATTCACTCTCTCTCTGTCCCAGAAAAAAGATAATGGCAAACCACTTCAAAAACCTTGCGAAGAAGATTCACTGGTTGGCGTCATAGCAGGAAAGATATGGTATAGTGGTGCTCTGGAAGGCACTGTGAAACCCAGCCAATACCTGCCTGTCAGAAGACCCTGCAGGGTCAAAGTCACTCTGGAGGGTTGGTGAAGAAAGGAGGGATGCTTTGTAGATCGTGAGGAAACAGCAATTTCCTCGCTTGATCCAAAGAAACCCTCTTCATTGGCAGCAGAATCAATGGCCATTTTAGCAAAACTGAAGCTGTGACAACGATATGATAATGAGCTGCAGCTGTTCGTGGACAGAGTTTTGAAACTAGGTGTGGTGACTTTCAACTTCTGTACTAGAGATCCAAACCCAAGAAAAAGAATTTTTAAAAAAGACTCCCCAAAATGCTAAGAAAGCGGCGAATTAACAGACGGAGAAAGATTATAGACCCAAAAGTAAAACAAACTTTTAATGGAAGATTATGAAGCTTTAAAATATAGAAAACCCTGACTGGAACTTGCAGTAGTATAAAAAGTGACTTAATCTGTGGATAACATTGTTTGATTATTGAAAGAATGTGTATAAAGAAAAAGGAATCTTGGGAGCTGATGTCACGGTGATATGATACATTTCCACGGGGCTCTGTAGAATTGCACAAAATTCAACCTGCCAGGAGGTTCTGAGGGAATCAAATTACCCTGGAGGGGTGAGGAAGACACAGAGGACACCCCACTGATCACAAAGAGACTGCATACTTGTTTGTTGTGGAGGAAGCTCTTAATATGGTGGGAAGAAAAGGACGGTCACTGCGCCCCTGACCACAGCTGTGACAGCCGATCGATACAGCAAGCATAGAATTTGAGAAACAGTGTGATCGATCTGGGTGAGATTTTTTTCAACTTCTGTTGTGGAATTTACTCCTTTAAAATAAATCCGGGAAAAAGTGGGACTCAAAGAAGAGGAGGTGGAATTGTTTGTTATCCACCCCCAAGAATATCAGCGAGTAAAGTTGTGAGCTATTTATAGAACTGGAAGTAGAGGGAATATTTTTTTTTAAAAAAAGAGAAGAAATGTTAAAGCTAGGAAGTTAGACTGGTGATTTAAAATACAAGATAGATTAAGTTGGAAACTTTTTGGAATATGAAACTTGGACTCCTGGGACGTCTAAAAAGCGGAGCAGGTTATACAATTTAAGATAACAAAAGAGAAAGAAGAGAAATAGAGCAACAGTGATATCTACTGAAGAAAATTGCAGAGAAGTTAAAGTGATGAAAGTAGGATCTTGACTGTGTATTGAAGATAAGCTTGTTTGTTAACACCTGCTCTAGCAAATTGTTTATGGGACAGCAGAGACAGAGAGTGAAACACTGTAACTTTTTAAACAGTGTAGCTCTTGGAACGTAGATGAAAGCTAAACAGATAAAGTAAATAGAAGCTGGAAATCAGCAAAGAACTTTCTTTTTTCCTTCCTGTTTGAACTTTTTCTTTTAGATGATTTATAAACCTGAGTGGTTAGGACTTGGTGGGCCTAAGTGAATTATAAATTTATCAATGGGGCTAAGTGAATTATAAACTGATAAATTTATAATTCAATTTCTTCTCTTGATAAATTTATAATTCACTTAGGTCCACCAAGCCTAAGTTATTAATCAAGAGAAGAAAGGATTAGGGTTTCAAGAACCTGAAGTTTAACAAGGAACTTTATTTCCTTTTTTTCTATTTTCCTATTTTTTGACTACATAACAGCAAGTTTGTAACTATTTGGAGATTTTGGTGGTGGCCTGATTTCTGAAATATTCTTTAGGTGGAAATTGATGGGGATTGAGGGAATATTAGAATATTATTTGTGTTATTGTTGATTACTTTTTATAAAAAAATTTGAGAATCTCAAGACTACTGGAAATGACTAGTACTTCAAATTTAAGCAAAGTAGGGAGAAAAAAATACACTGGCGTCCTCAGCATCATCATCAGAAGCAGCAGCTGCATCTAGTCCAGCAAGATAAAGATCTTTAGATAGCATGATGCAGTAGGAAAAAATGAACACAATGAATACTATGCAAGCAGAACTGAAATTAATGCTCCAAACATTTGAAGTAGCCACAACAAAACATTTTGAAGACATGAAAGAAAGAATGGAAAATATGGATAATAAAATGGAGAATATTCAACAAACAATAACCAAAAATGACAAAGGATGCAGAAAATAGAGAAATCAGAACAGAGAAGAAAGTGGAAGAGATGGATTATAGACTTACACAGCTGACAAAAAACTTGAGAGAACAGTAATCAAGTTGGAGATGGATAAAGCTGAATACTTCTTGAGATTTCAGAATATTGAGGAAGAAAAAGAAGGAAACTTGCAGAGATAATAGCAGAATTGTTGGCGGAAGCCATGGACAGGGACAAGCAAAAGGGGCTTGCTGGGATTAATGAAATATTTAGAGTATACACAAGCAAAGCATCAAGAAATAAACTACCTGGAGAGGTACATGTGAGATTTACCAAGAAGGCACTAAGAACAGAGATAAAAATAATAGTTCTGAAACAAGTCCCTAGAAGAGACATGAGAAAACAATACCAATTTCTGACAAGACAATTAATTAAGCATGAAGTAAATTTCAGATGGCTGATACCTGAAGGAAACCAGGTAATCTGCATAGATCAAAGGAAGAAATCAGAGCAATTTTATGATGAGCAATTTGGATCATATGAGGAAAAAAGAGAGAGGAGATAGATGACAAGAAACAAGAAGAAGCAGTAGGAGGAAGAAATGTACAACAAAAATAAAATGAAACAGAATTAAAGGAGAGAGCAGATTGAGAAGTTTCAAAGACAAAAGAACAGAGAGAAATAAGAGCAACCAGAACAATAAGACCTATCTACACGTACAACTATGGAAGATGAAATAAAACTACTGTCGATTAATATAAATGGACTGAATTCTCCTATGAAAGGAAAAGGACTTTTAACAAATTAAGAAAGTTAAAATTAGATTTTATTTATCTTCAAGAAGTCCACATAAAAAACAACACAATAAATTATTGGAATATCCTAAAATTGGGAAACTATAATCATTAGCACAAAAAAAGAGTGTGGTTGTATATATTAAAAAAAACAATAAAAGCAAGACAAATTCATGCAGATGAAGAGGGAAGAATATTGATGGTGGAGGTAACAACGAACTATAAATGAACACTTTTGGTAGCAATCTATGCACCAAATTATAAAAAATGACTTTTTTATGAAAAGCTGCATACAATAATTACTAAAATCAATACTCATTTTATTCAAATAGATATATGTCTTGGTCAAGAATAGATATGATATGGATGTCACCGGAGTTAAAATCAAATGTGCAAGAAATAGAAATAGAAGCAAGCACTTGGGCAGATCATAATCCAATTGGAGTTAAGTGGAAAGGAGAAAAAAGAAAATGGAGATGGACATTGAATCAATCAATACTAAAAGATAAGGAATTTGTACAAAGTATGAAGAAAGAAATGGACTCCTCCCCGCCAAGAGAATACAAAAGAAGAAATCTCATTACAAAATGTAGGAGACACTGCTAAGGCATATATTCGAGAACTAGCTATGACCGTGATGGTGAGCCTATGGCACATGTGCCAGAAGTGGTAAACAGAGCCATCTCTCTCTGCACGCTAGCCTTCGCCGGTTGCTCTGCCGGGTTCCGGCAGGCCAGCTAGTTACTCTTTATACACGAAGGAGCACCAGAAACCAGAAGAGCAGCCGTCCAGTGTTCATGGACACGCTGGGAAGATTATCTTTTGCTTTCTGGTCTGCGCATGCACCGGCCACTTGATCTTTTGGTTTCTGGCGCACATGTGCAAAGACGAGCTGGCTGGTACATGCCGGAAACCAGAAGATCATCTCACGTTCGTGGTCCAGAGCACCTCACCAGCTCGGGAGCACAGGACAGTGGGACAGTATTAGCTGGCTGGGTAGCTGACTGCCCTGCCCGCTGCTCCTGCTGCCCCCAGGGGTGATGCCAGGATGCTGGAGCAGCCAGGAGGAGCTGCCTTCTCAAGGATAGAGATACTGCCAAGGGCCCGGCTTGCCAGTGGAGGAGCGGCTGCATGGGCTCGCTGGTTTCTCCTGTGCGTCACCCTGTGGTTGCTGCCACCGTTCTTCTGGGGTGGTGGGGCTATGGAGAAACTGAGTCTGTGCAGGGGGAACCTCTGTCTGGCACCAGGGTAAGAGGTCACACTCCCTTGGCAGAAGTGGGGGGGAAGTGCTGGCTTGTTCTCGTTGACACGATCATCTGCTCTTCCATTTCTGGCGCATGCACACAAACTCCCATTTTGGTACTTGGTGCAAAAAAGGTTCACCCAACACAAAACAAAAAGATGATAGCAAAAGAACATAAGAGACTGGAATTAGAATTACAGAAAGTACCAAACAAGATCTTAAAAAATCAAATGGAATTATTAAAACATAAAATGAATCTACTAAAGAAGAATTGGCACAAAAA